AAAAAAAAAAAACCAAGATTATCTTCCAGTAGCCTAAAGAACAAAAATTTTAAATTTTTGTTTTCTTAAGCTGAACCAAAACAAAAGAATACTACGGTTTCCTAATGAAACTGTAAAATGACCGTCATTCCCACTTACTGTTAGCAAAAGAGGCAATGACGGAAAAAAAATAACTTCCCCGTTTTATTCATCTGTCACCAGTGCCTCTTATTGGTGGCATTAGCACCCTTGTAGGAGACTGATAACCCCTGTAGAATACAAAACCGACGACCCCCAATATATTTACAAAAAAGTAAGTGGCAGTTGAATGAACCACAGTTTTCCCGATCACTGGCTTCATTACAAAATAGCACCTCATCTCTTCAAGCGGGAACAGTACCATATTGCCACATCTATCAGGCTTCTTTTCAACCTTCTTTCCATTAAAAACTTAAACACTGTTGCTAAGTGTTTTCTTTAAGAACTAACTCTTGCCCTTCATTAAATAAAATATTTTTTAACGTACTACAAGTCTCGACTCAAAAGCAAGTGTTCTCCTATCTTTCTTATTCAATAGACAGATGGAGCAAAAAGAAGGATACCCAAAAATACCCAAAAATAGTAAATAAATAGTGCCTTAAAGCTAGCCAAACAACCCTCAAAACTCAAATCAATAGGTATTCGCACAGAAAAAAATCTTTAATTTTTTCTATTTACTTTTTCAGTTGAGACTTCATTGCATCCATTCTAAATTCTTAAACCGTTTCTATTAATTTCAAAAAACTGACCATTATATTACGGTTCGAACCGAAATGATAACAAAATGGTTCTACCAGGCAATACCTGCCGTAAAATTGAAAATTTTTTTTAATCTCTAAAAATGAACAGCAAAACTAACTGTTAGATTTATATTGCGATTTTGGCATACAAGCAGAATCAATCAGCAGGTATCTCAGCCCATTTGTTTTAGCTGTGAGGTTTCAAGAGTCCAAAAGTACCAAAACATGAATGCCTTGTTGACTGTTATCAGAAAAATTTCTGTTAGTAACACCCATCACATTAAATACTCTAGTATCCTCTTCCAATGTTTCATAATGGGCTTCAACGACAACGACAGGTGTCTCAGTGGGGAAAGAAGGACATAACACTGTACCAAACCAAGTACCAACGTTTTTAAAAAAGGATAAGGTTTTTTGCCCAAGTACAGAGAGAAAGAATAATAGGATGCCAGCTACTGTCCTAAATATAGACGCCCTTTAAACTTCTCAACGGCTCCAAAACAGTACACAGCTAATATCTTCTAAAACCATCATAGCACTGGATAAGTGGCTTTACTTCTGCAGAAAATGAAAAAAATACTTCTTGGACATGATAAAGGAAAAAATACCACTTGACTTTGAAGTTCTGAATGCTTCCAAAAAACCTGTCAAGTATAAACGTAAATCTGTTCGGCTTATTCGATTCAATTATCGAGAGAAGAAGCCTATTAGGAACCATTAAATATGAGACATAACTGACATAAAATCTTTTGAAAATGATTTTGAACGACTCTACCCGACCTCTTTTTCTTCCAGTAATATTCTTCTTCACTAAAAAAAGAAAAAAAAATAGTACAACAACGGTGCATTTCATAATGCCAGTTTTATCTTACCACTCTCTCAGGAGGCACTGGCTGAAAAAAAAAAAAAAAAAAAAAAACATGCTTTAAGAGACCGTTAAAAAAAACAAAAAACTTGAATTAGTTTAACCATCAAAATATCTATCAAAAAAATATAAGTTTTGAAGTCATATTTTTTAAAACATAAAAATAGGGCGAGAGAAGAAAGCAAGAAAAGGGAAAAAATGCACTAAAATATGTAAAATTTACATAAATGTACAAAAAAACAAAACAAAAATAAAAAAGTAGCACGCAAAAGTAAAAAATAGCTGTCCCTTCTGAAAAACTCCAAACATAGACCAGGGGACGAGAAACTGGTGATGCAGCACATCGCTTCTTTAACGTCATAAAACTCATGCTGTACATCATCATTACACTTAAGAGAATG